AAAAAAATGTACAGAAAAATAGAAAAAAAATATATGTAACTACAACATTTTACATAAGCTAATGTATTTCCTAACATTTGAGATACATGTATGCATGTAATTCACTGTGAAGTGTTTTTGTATCTGTTCTGTTGTGCCTGGTGAAATGGCAATAAATTTTGCTTTAAGCTTCCCTTTTGATAAAATAACATTTAACATATGAGCTGCTCTTAAATAAGGATAATGTATACGTGTTTCTACAATATATAGGATATTTTATTTGTATTCATTTCTTCTCAAATGCCTCGCAAATGCTTAATGCTTGACGCTAATGCAATTGTTTTGACCGCCACTGTTGTTTAATATTTTAGCTTTTGAAAGCTGCAGATTCACTTAACTGTATGTAACTGCAAATTTATGGGTGTAAATTAACTGAAAACCATACGGTTCTATTTTTGTCATTTAACAAAAAACAATCTATGGAAGTAATCAATCTTCACAGTTTTCCTTCAACACTCATAGGACTTTATGGCATATCAAAATGATGTATGAGCATTTATCAAAAATGACAAAAAAATGTTAGAAATATACAATCAGATACTCTAAATTGAAAGGAAAATTAATAAAAATTTATAATTTATTAATACAAAATAAATTAAACAATACTTTTTGGTATTTATCTTTAAATTAATATTTTTTTATTTTTGATTTTTATGATTAGTAAAATACTTATCATTTTTGATCTTTGGAAATATTCGTTGATTTATAAATTTATATTTAATTGTTCAACTACAAGTACCAAGCCTAAGCCTATAACATTCTAAGCAATGACTTCTGTTTAGTTGGGAACTCATCTTTTATAATAATTCGAGCAGCTAAAATGCTACATAACTATTTTATCTATTTAATTTTAGGTGGATGGACGCAGACTTACAGCTAGATAGATATATAGATAAACAAAGAGATATCTTCTATGATAATTCAAGCAGCTAAAATGATACATAACGATTTTATCTATTTAATTTTAGGTGGACGGATACAGACTTACAGCTAGATAGATATATAGATAAACAAAGAGGCTTTACAATACTATTTCATATTGCTAGCACAGCTTCCAATAACTTCTTAATCGTTTTACTAACATCTTGATAAATGTAACAGACTCGTTGTCAAAAATAGGTGGGGGAAGGTTCTCAAGAACCTGAAGCCAACGT